ATGGCTAAATTCTGATTATAGTCGTATAGTTCTAAGTTAGTAGTGTTTTTTTTTTTTCACTCATCTCTCGTTTCTCATCAGTTCTGTTTGTTATCTGGGCTTACATTCCAAGTACATGGCTACATTCTTTAGGACTGACTTATTTACCACAGAAGTGAGTATTACTTATATATTGTATGCAGTTGATGAAAAATTCATTTTCAAGCTATTTGTGTATTACTGGTATGAGTGTTTGGAGTCAATGCAAAACTACTTACAAGGTTGTGTGTGATTGGCTATTCAACTTTAACCAATCAGAGAGCAGCTTGTTTGTTGACAGGTTTTCTCAATGTATCAAATTGTGCCTTGTATTGGTGCGTTTACTTATTTGGTACCCCAAAATTGAAGCTAATGAATGCTTGTAAACCTTCAATAAAGATTGACTGTTTTAAAGTAAAAAAAAAAAATGGTAAATTTCAAGCAATATATTGGCATGGTCAGATGTGCAAGTTCTTCCCAAAATGATCGTGACGATTCAGGCACAGACACAGTTTGAACATCATGACCGAAAATCTTAACGTTGTTATTTTTATTTAACTCCACCTGAACAATGTATCGGTAATGTTAGAAAATCTGCACTCTAAAATGTAAATTTTTGTGCGTCCAATAGATCGCGTGTTATATTTCCGGTAGGACGAATACCTACAACTGCAAGATCGAAACAAATGAAATTGTACTGATAAATGATTCGGGCGTAAAATGGGCACTGCAGATAACGTTATAAGGAGAAGGTCCATCCCAATATTTCCTGGTGTTCTTGATGGCTTTAGTCCACTGATGTTGTAAATTCGAATTGGGAAGGCATAAAGAATTGCGTTATTGTTGTGTGTGTTGCTACACCCCCAACAACGCAGCGTTTCCCCATGATAACGATCATGTAGCTCGTTGTATATGCTGGTTTACTAAACGCGTGCGTATGAAAAATGGTAAACAATTCTGTCTGCTAGCTATCTCCTGCTTTATGGTCTCGTTGGTGGCGCCATTTCGGCAACACTCGTAATGCCGAAAAAACTTGAAGGTGACGGGAGAGGGGGGCATGGCCCGATTTTGGAATATCACTGAATGTTTACCCAATTTATATACCCTTGATTTTTTTTTCATAATGTTGTTTATAAATAAATTTTGCACACAAAAAAAGTCAATTGGCCCAATTCAGTTACATTTTAAGCAGTGTTTGAAAGAAATATGCTGCAAACCATTAAATTTTCGCAATTTTTGGATTTTATTGTATTTGTGAAGACAAATTTGACACACTTTGTATCTTAGGACACCAGACACCATGTTTTTCATGAAATTAAAATGATTTACAGTACCAGTATATATATTAGGAAATATAAAACTTTTGTTTTGTTACCTATATCATCAATTTTGTTTTCATAATATGATTCAACTTATATTGCAGATATTGGGCATTGGCAGCCCCTACGTATTTATGCATGTCAATTGTGTTCTTTTATATAATTTATGTTGGCTATACCTTCACTATTACACTACCTCTAGATTCCCTTAATACAATTACAGGTAAGGACTCATGATTTACTTTTGTTATAGACCACACTCTAGTAAGGTGTTATGTAATTGCTTGACAAGGCAGAAGGCTGAATGCGCAGTCAATTTAAGATGTGATACACTGAGAATCAAAATTTATATTGATTGCAATTACAAATTTGTAAATATTTTGGGTTTATATGCCATTAGAGATGTGCTTCTAATACGGTATCTGAATTTAAATAGATTATTTGATTTGTAGGAAAAGAATTTGCAGAAATTTGATAAAAGTGGTATGGATTAGTTTGCTATTTTTTTAATGTACCATATTTGCTCCATTAGAAGCGCATCTAAATTTTAAAAGGCGGGTTTAGTCTCATAGCGCGTTTGAATTACATGTAAACAAACATGTTGTGTACATCGCTACTAGTTTCATATCAAACATGAGGTGGCGTGACAACCGCTACCCGATAAAATGTATAACTAGACAATCAGTAAGTCTTCGTACATTTTTTTTTCAGATGACCATGCTTGTCCTGTGAACACTAAAAATTTGCCATCTGGTGCAATTCCACCAATAGGAGACCTGTCAATTTGTGAAGTGAATCAAAGGCTTTATTTATAACCACACTGTACTGTGGTTATTCCTGGACATGCATCTTACAACACTGAACACCAGTCAATTTGTAAAGTGGATCAGACTGTATTTATAAGTCTACACTATACTGTGTTTACTCCTGGACATGCATCTTACAACATTGAAGCCATGACGTTAATCAGACTGTATTTACAAGTTTACACTATACTGTGTTTACTCCTGGACATGCATCTTACAATATTGAAGCAATGACGTCAATCAGACTGTATTTACAAGTCTATACAGTACTGTGGTTACTCCTGGACATGCATCTTACAATATTGAAGCCATGACGTCAATCAGACTGTATTTATTCCTGGACATGCATCTTACAACATTGAACACCAGTCAATTTGTAAAGTGGATCAGACTGTATTTACAAGTTTACACTATACTGTGTTTACTCCTGGACATGCATCTTACAACATTGAAGCCATGACGTCAATCAGACTGTATTTAGAAGTTTACACTATACTGTGTTTACTCCTGGACATGCATCTTACAATATTGAAGCCATGACGTCAATCAGACTGTATTTATTCCTGGACATGCATCTTACAACATTGAACACCAGTCAATTTGTAAAGTGAATCAGACTGTATTTACAAGTCTACACTGTACTGTGTTACTTCTGATCATACATATTCAACATTGAAGACATGTCAATCAGACTGTTTTATAATTGCTGAGGTTACACCAAAGGGATGCGCACAAAATATAAATAAAATAGTTTAATACCAAAGCATTCAGTACCGCATTTGTTCTATTGAAACACAAGTTGCATTTTAATATTGTATGCTGAATTAAAATACGACTTATTTTGATCACACATGCACTACTGTAAAATCTGTATTAGAAGCTGTGGCTTCTATTAAAATGGTACAATGCAACAGAGGGAATGCGGCATCTGCACATATGAAAAATGGTAAACTTTTGGTTCTCAATTGTTCAAAAAAAATGAGTGCGACTTTTATTAGGGATGCAGCTTCTAATACAGATTTTACGGTACTAACAGAGCATATTGAAATGCTCTTAGTCTGGTTGTAAATGGCACCAGTTTTAGTAATGGAACATCTCGTATAGGAGTACCATGCTGTAGAATGTTCATTCGAACACAAATCATAAATTTGGTGTTACCACGAAAAGTGTGTTACATTATTAAATGGCGGTGGTGGATGCTCATGTTTGATTTGAGTGTAACATGCACTAAATATAAAATGACTTCTTGATTAGCAGTATACCAAAATATTGCAAAGACAGACTATAAAACTTACACTTTCTCGAGTTTTTATTATTGCTTTCATACAATGGTTCTAATCAACAATCAATACATGTCCATGCTTAGTGCATACAGATATAAAGACAAGTCTTCAGGAGTAACAGATTAAAACACAAACATCAATGATCTTAAAAAAAAATACAGCATATAAAGCATCTATGTATAGTAGCATTATAACACTGCCTTACAGGAAGATCACTTTGACACAAGGGACTTCATACTGCTACACTGTCAAGGACTTTATTTGGGAATTTCAGCTAGGATTGGAGTAAACTTCACTAAAGTAAATGTTGGATCATCTGCTTCTACATGTAGATTGATTTGGAGGCATGCTTATTGTAGTTTTATACATCTGGCATTTTATTTTAAAATTCCAAACGAAGCAAACATACTTCGACTCTAGTATCACCATCCACAAGATTAACAAATTCAGTTATTTTCCCCCACATTAGGTTTAAAACCCCCAAATGCCCACTGTAAAAGCTGAAGTCCATCCAATGCAGCAAATTGGTAGCAGAATTTGGTGCAATTAAAAAGAGGAGAAGTCAAGTTATTTTATACACACTAATAATTTCATCATTACATTCAATATCATACAATACATTGGTCTTTTCACAATCGAGTACAGTGAATACAAGTCAAATACTACCTATGCATTGAAAAACAAAAATAGGACTGCAGTGAACAATCTCCTTTATACAGACAATCTAACCAAGCATGCATCGGAATATATGTGAAACTAGTATTTTCACGATTGGTTTTCATCACAGAAGTTAAAACAGAGAGGAAGCCATCTGCGCATGCGCAAGTATTGAGTCGCAAGCTTTGACAACAATGGACGCTAAAAATGCAAAGGTTTAAGGGTTTGTTTGCATGCGCAGATGACGACAACTCAGTTTTAAATTGTACAAGATATTACAAA